CTCAGTCCTTGGCTGCCTCATTTAGAGGTTTAATCGATTCCTCCATCCCAACAATCCATGGCCAACCAAATGCCACACCTCGAACACGCTTTTTGTGACCAGACATGGGAGTTTAATTATGTTCTCTCTGGATCTGTCATTCACTGCCCCTTCCCCCAAATGAACCCTAAAATATTTCCCTTTCATTGTGGCCCAGCTGAGGTTTGGATGGAGATGCAGCTCCATGTCATGGCGGGGTTGTATGTGTGTGTGTCCGTGTGTCCATGTGTGTCCATGTGTCCGTGTCCGTGTGTGTCCGTGTGTCCCTGTGTGTCCATGTCCGTGTGTCCGAGTGTCCGTGTGTCCATGTGTGTCCATGTCCGTGTGTCCGTGTGTCCCTGTGTATCCGTGTCCATGTCCGTGTGTCCATGTGTCCGTGTGTCCGTGTCCGTCTGTCCGTGTGTCCCTGTGTATCCGTGTCCATGTCCGTGTGTCCATGTGTCCGAGTGTCCGAGTTCCCGTTCTCCCGCCCGTGTCCGTCTGTCCGTGTGTCCGTGTGTCCATGTCCATGTCCATGTGTCCGAGTGTCCGAGTTCCCGCTCTCCCGTTGTGCGCGCGCCGTGCCGCGTGGGGGGCGTGGCCGGGGCGGTTCCCGCGCGTTCCCGCCCCCTTTAGCCCCGCCCACCCACCGGGGGCCCGGCACGGCGGAAGGCGCTGATTGGCTCACGGCGGGAGGGGGCGTGTCCGGTGCCGTTCCCGGTCCCGGTGCCGGTCCCGGTGCCGGTGCAGTCCCGCAGTGCAGCGCTCCGGGATGGCGGCACCGGGCGGGCAGCGGCGGATCATGTGCGTGGGGCTGGTGTGCCTGGACATCATCAGCGTGGTGGAGGCTTTCCCCGCCGAGGACTCGGACACCAGGTACCGGCACCGGGGGCTCTTCTCGGTGCCCCCCAAACCGGCCCTGCAGCGCGCCCACCGAGCCTCCCGGCCCGCAGGTGCGTGTCACAGCGGTGGCAGCGCGGCGGCAACGCCTCCAACTCGTGCACGGTGCTGTCGCTGCTCGGAGCCCCCTGCGCCTTCATGGGCTCGCTGGCCCCCGGTCCCGCCGCTGAGTAAGTGGGGTTCGGGGTTCCCCCGCTGATCCCCCGCTGGCCATCGGTGCAGCKCTGTGGCCGCGGTTCCCGCTGCCCGCCCGCCTCTGCCATCACCCCTCATCCCGCTCTCTGTCTGTCCCCCAAAGCTTCATCGCCGCGGATTTCCAGCGCCGGGGAGTGGACACGGCACATGTGGCCTGGCAGAGCGGCGGGGACGTGCCCTGCGCCTGCTGCCTCGTCAACGCCACCAGCGGCTCCCGCACCATCGTCCTGCACGACACGTAAGGGCCGCGGTCCCGGCTCCGTGCCCGTGGTTATCCCATCCCGGGTTCACGGGCCCCTCCCGCCGCCTGCCAGGGGGTGCCGAGTGTCAGATGGGGCCACTCGCTGTAATCCCACGCACGTTGTCACCACCAATGGTCCCTGCAGCCCTTGGTCACCCGCGGTGCCACTGCCAGGGTTGATGGTGATATCACCGCACTGTCAYACACTCTGGAGCACAGGGCAGCAAYCTGGGGACACCGGGTTCCATCAGCCGTGCGGAAGGGTCAGTTAGGCATTGCTGACCCTCCGGCCACCACTGCGCTGCCCTTCGAATCCAGCTCAGGATCCCGGACACCATCATTAATGATTCACCCGGGCAGTGCCTCCCCCAGGACCTCTGTCCTGGCAGCACGGAGCCCTCCAGGGCCCCTGGAACTGCCCTTCGCCCCCAGCGTGCCACGCTGAGGGTCCCCCATCTCCAGCTGGCCCCCGTCCCACAGGAACCTGCCTGACGTGACCGCCCGAGACTTCGAGCGGGTCGATCTTTCTCAGTACAAGTGGATCCACTTCGAGGTGAGCCCGATTGTCGGGCTGGGGAGAATC